GTTTGTTGGTAGGGTGGACTGGGAGGCATCATATATTGATTGTGGCTGTGGGAATCCCTTGTGACCTGCGGAGGTGCCTTGTGTCGAAAGTCTCATGGCGGTGTTAGGTTGGTCCGATAGTTGTGGTAGGTCAGACAGCGGATCCCTTTGTGATAAGCGGTGTAAGGCAGACAAGGAAGGATAAGGGTTTCGGCAAACGCAGCGGGGGAATTATCCAATGTGCTCTCATACCAAGTGAACCTAAGGTTTGTTTGTGGGTGATCATCGTGCTGTCAAAGTATTCAATGGATGAACTTCGGTTTCTAGAAGATGCAAATAGAAGATTACATGTATGGTAAAGATCTATTGGCGACATTGAAGGAGAAACCCGAAGACATGGATGAAGCCAAATACAAGAAGATTGACATGAAGACGATGAGTGTGATTCGACTAATCCTTTCGGAGAATGTCTCGACTGAATTTGGATCTGGATCTGCCCTTAGTGCCGAAAATAGGGGTAGATCTGAGGCAAAGGGAAATGGTGAAGATCAAGAATGATCAAAGTTGAAGTCAAAGAACAAGGACAAGGAAGAAGCTAGTAAGGTGGTATGTTGGAACTGCAATGGACATTTGAAATGATAATGCAAGACGCCGGAGAAGGATCAGGGTTCGGCAAACGCAGCGGAAGAGATATCTGATGCGCTGATTATGAGCGTCAGCAGTCCAATAGAGTCATGGATTTTGGTTTCAGGAGCGTCATTCCACTCATGCAGTGACTCAAGAATCATAGAATCCTATACCGGAGGTAATTTTGGTGTTGTTTATCTTGCATATGATGAGACACTGAAAATATACATGGATGGTTCAAATCAGAATACTGAATGGTGGGGAGTGGAGACTAAATGATGTGAGGCATATCCTAGGCATGAAACGGAATCTGATTTCATGGGATACTTGGATGAGGCAGGTTATTCGACAATTTTTGAAACTAAATCGTGGAAAGTAAACAAAGGATCCATTATGATGGCCCAATGGAGAAGATATGAAACTCTCTACATGACGAAAAACATGCAAGACGGAATCAATTCTGTGGCCATAAATGATGACACAAATTTATGGCATTCTCGTCTAGGACACATGAGCGAGAAAATGATTAGGGAGCTCATTTCAAATGGAAGATTGTCAGATCTCAAGTCCGTCGATATTGGAGTATGCGATGACTGGTTCTTTGAGAAACAACGAAATGTGGCATTCTCAAAGGGTGGGAGAGACCTGGAAAAAAAAAAAGTTAGAATTGATCCAAACGGAATTGTGGGGGCTAGCTCCTGTATCAACCCTTGGAGGCTCACAGTACTATCCCTCATTCATTGATGATGCTACAAAAGTGGTATGGATATATTTTCTTAAGCGTGAATACGATGTTGTTGATACCTTTAGGAGATGGAAAACACATGCAGTGGGAGTAGTGAGCTGATTTATGAGCAATCCTGGAAGAAAGTCTAAGGTGGTGACTTAGATGAATTGAGGTTGTGTTCAACCTCAATTGGCCTCGATGAGTGAAGAAGGAGGTTTGGCGCTGTCGTTGCCGATGAAGTAACATGTTGAAGTGGAAGATGCAATTAGTCTTCAAGTGAGAGATTGTTGGATATAAAACCTGATTATATCCTAAAATTTAGGGATATAATTTGAATATGATTTAGATATGATTTGTATATTATATCATAGATTTAGATATATGATTTGGATATTATTGGCATAGGCTTAGGCTATAAATATCCATGTATTCTTCACTTTAACAAGTTCCTACGTGCTTTATAATAAAATTCCTAGTTTGGCAGCGCCCCAGATGACGTAGATCATTGTGATCAAACTTAGTTGCCAAATTCTTGTGCTTTTATAAAACAAGAACAATATTATTTAATGTTGTATGTGCGACTTGTATTTATTTAGGTTGCATTTATTTCAAGAATTTTGATGAAATTTTATTATTTATACAATTTATTTTCTATCAGTTCAAATATTTATTTTTTATTTTTAATATTATATAAAAAATAATTTACATTAAAAAAATTACGTGAATATTTATTTATATCAAATCATCATATTAATATTAATATTAATATATATAGCACAAGACACTTTAATTCGTGCATTCTCATAATTTTGGAATTTTTTTTATTTTTTAAATAATAAGTTTGAATAATTAGTTAAAATTTGTTAGGATAACCACTAATCTAATAAAATCCAGATTTATCGAAATAATAAATAATAAAGATACGTATAAAATTAGGGTTTTGTATATTTATATATACCTAAAAGATTAAACCAAAATCGCCATAACAAAAATTCTTATGAGATTTTTGTTCAACACTGCGCATGTTCGGAAAAACGGCGATCTGCTTCATTGACTGTCGGATCAATCATAAATTTTCAAAAAGTGTTCGTAATTCGTTGCGTTTTCAAATATTTGAATTATTTGTTGGATGCATATAGTTCAACTAGAATGACAAAATTTATAGGTTTATTTTTTTATCTTTATTTTTCTTAAATATATAGTTTTTCTTAACAATGATTGAACATGTTTATATGTATTCTTAAAAACTCTTATATTTTATTTCATTATTGTGAATTTTATACTTTTGGTTTGGACAACGCATGATTTTTTTATTTTTTTTACCTTGAAGGGTTTTCAAGTAATTATTCTTTTTTGTATTTTATTTACTCATATAATTTGTTATCGTTTAAAGAAAGTGAATGATTTTTCACATAAAAAATATTATTATCTCTTTTCTATATTATTTATGCATATAATATTTTATCCTATGAAAATTTTATAATAAATTTGTTTTCTTTGACTTATAAATTTTAAATTATACAAAAAATTTTACTAATCAATTTTTTTATCCATGATATGATGAAAAAAAAAATCTCAAAAAAAAAAAAGAGAAAGAAAAAAAAATGAGAAGAAAAAAATATAAGAGAAATAAGAGAAATAGAAAAAAAAAATCAGGTATAGTCGTCTTTTTGTTTATTTATTTTATTTTGTTATGTATAATAATATTATTAAATTAATTTTTAATTTTTACTAATAGATTATTTTTATTCTTATTGTATATTTATTAATAATTTATTTAGTTTCGAGTATAATGTATATGTATTTTTAAAATTATCTATTGTGTTATTATTATTTTCTACTAAATAAATATTTTTTATTCTTATTACGTATATATTTACTAATTTATTTAGATTCGAGTATAATGTTTTAATATTTCATTATTATTGTATATGCATTTTTCAAAATATCTATTATGTTATTCTTACTTTCTACAATTAAAATAGTTTTCATTCTTATTGAATATTTATTTTTTCTAATTGATTTGATTTTGATTATTATATTATAGTATATTTTTCAATATTTTAGATTATGTTTAAATTTGCAATCTTTTAATTTGAAAGAATATTTAAAGAAATCATGAAGAAAAATATGACAAATTTTAATATATATAAAAATATTTTTATTTATTATTTTTATTTTCATTATTTATGTTTTTTTTAATTACACATTGTGTTATTTTTATTTTTTAATAATCAATTTTTTATTCATTTTTATTTCATATGTATTTTTTTAATTGATTTAGTTTCGAATATTATATGAAAATATTTTTTTTTCTAATTTTGTAGATTATATTTAAATTTTGAATATTTTATTTAAAAGAATAGAAAAATTCATATAGAAAATTAAGATAAATTTTAGTAATTTTAAAAAATTATTATATTTTAATTTTAGTACTTTCATTTTTATTTTGTATGCATTATTTTATTTGTTTATTTTTTTATTTTTTATTTACTAATCAATTCTTATTTATTATTATTCTATATATATATATTTTTCTAATTAATTTGATTTAGAATATTACTATTCTAATACTATTTTTTTTTTGAAAAATTGAAATTATATTCAAATTTTGAGTCTTTTGTTTTTATCTAATATGATTTGTTAATAAATATTTTAATCTAACTTATATTTGATTTCACTTGAATATAAATTTGGTAATTTATAATTTTTATTACTTAATATTCTGCCGTATTTGTTTTACTTTTGTTAATGTATTTTTTTTTTTTTTGTAGATATATTGTTTAAAGATTTTTTTCGATAGATATGAATTTATTTTAAAATTTATTATAATGTTTCATTTAATAAGATTGGAAATAAATATTTTAAATCTACCTTAAGTTTGAATTTAAAATGGTATATACATTTTATTTGATTTATAATTTACTTACTTAATATTTTTTTTTCGTTACTATATTTAGTATGTTGTTTGAACATTATTCACTACTAAAAACTAACAATCATATATAAATGACGACAATTTTTTTTTCAAATTTATTTTGATTTTAAATTTAAGAGTGATTATGAATAATTATTTTTTATCTCTATTATATTTGAGTTTAAATTGTAATATATATTTATGAAATTTTGATTCATTTAGTTGATGTTTTTTATTTGATTTAGTTACCGTATTTTTTATTTATAGTTTATTTTTTATATAAATTAATTTTGACTATTTTCATACAAAGTATTATTATCAAAATAAAATTTATTATTTAAAATATAAAAATTAAATTAATATCATAATATCTATAATTATCTGCGCATAGCACGGATAATAGGCTAGTCATTGATATATTTGACAAGGCATACCAATTCTTGCCTTCTTGTAATTTTGAGAATTTTTAAAAATTAATTATAAAATTATATATATAAAAGAATAATAATAAAATTATATATATTTAACAGTAATAAACAAATAAACCATTTTTAAACTAGCAAATTGCCTTGTCATGCTCGAAAAATATTGTGTTTGTTTGGGGATTGAATTTTAAATACATTATTTATCATATTATTTTTTTTAAAAGAAAATAAATAAAATACCTATTTTTTATTTTTTATATTATATTAAAAATCAATTTTACATTCAAAACATAACATCAACATTTATTTATATTAATTTATATAATTAATCAAATTCAAAATTTGTACCAAGTGAACTCAAATTCCCAAACCCCAAACAAACACATCATTCGATTGTATTAATAATGTAAAGAAAGTTAATGCCACAATTGGAAAATCAGAAAAAAAAACAACTCCAAGAAAGTTAAGGAGAGCACACACGTGTCAATGCGCGATTGGCCGGGAGGAATCGGTATGATCGGAGACTAGCGGAGCAGAGCATCCCAGATGACGTCCATGTCCAACGACGGCATTCGGCTCAGCTGCACCGCCTCGTCGCCACCGGTCTCTTCACCCGACAACGAGCTGCAGATCTTCTTCTCCGTCTCCGAATTTCCGTTTCCGCCGCCGGATTCCGCACTCTCGGCAGCGGCGGAGGCGGCGGCCCTCTTCTCGGCGGTGCCTTGCAGCTTGGCCTGGAGGAGCGCGGCGGTGCTCCTGGCCATGGTGGAGTTCCCGGCGTTGATTTGATGCTTTAAATGCGGGAAATTGAGGTGGGCGTAGTCGCCACGGAGGATGTACGCCGCCGTGTCGTAGGCGAGCGCCGCCTCCCGGGCGGTGTCGAAAGTCCCCAGCCACACGCGCGTCCGGTTGCGCGGCAGCCGGATCTCCGCCACCCATTTTCCCCAGTGGCGCTGCCGTACGCCGCGGAAGAGCTTCCGCTGCGGCCCCGCCGGGGACTTTCCGCCGCCGGAGAATTTCGTCGTCGGTTGGGTTGCCGTGGCGCCGAGCCAGTAGTCGCTGAAGCCGCCGGCGGTTGAAGGGATCGCGGCGCTGATTTTCAGCCATTGGATCGTGACCTGATGATCGGACGGCTGGGGTTCCGATAGGGAGAATAAGTTAGGGTTGTCACTGTCAGAGGTGGGGGGAAAACTTGAGCAGTGAGAGGCTGAGGCTGAGGCGGCGCGGGGGAACACGTCATGATCATCGTTAAATCCGAAGTGGTTCCTCGGAGTCGGAAGAGGGAAAGGCAACCTCCTCGTACTAGTGGTGTCATCGGAGACGACGTCGTTTGCTGCAGCAACGTTAACGTTGGGATGATCGAATAGTATTGAACCTGCAGAGGAGGAAGAAGACGATGATTCCATTAAAGGTGCCAGTTCGCTATGGCACTCCATCGAAGATATCATATATATATATATATATATGGAGAGAGAGAGAAGAGAGAGAGATTAGGTGGGGGAGGGGGGATTTTTTGTAAAAATAATTTAGGTTGTGTTTTTTGTGTTTTTACTATTTATTTTATTTTTTAAATATTAAATTAAGAGTACTTTCATTTAAATCCAGATAAATAGCATTTAAGTTCAGTTCCTCCAAATTATTTCAAGGCATTACACTATCTACTTTTTGTAAAATATTTATACATAGTTCCCTACTATCCATTTTGTCCTGAAATTATGTTTATATGTAACTAATATATTATGTACTTACGTTGCATTTATGTAAACTTACGTTCTTTATTTATATACTCTAAAATTGACGTGCTATACAAATTTAATTTCAAAGTGATGTACCTTGGTTTATTATTTATATAGTTCTTCCGTCCCATAACAAAGTATCCATTTTTTTCTATTTTAGTCCGTCCTATAATAAAGTATCAATTTTTTTTTAGTAATTGTATTATCTATCTAACATTACAAATACTCTTACAACTTACAATATATTACACAAATGTCATTACCTTTATATCACACATACTAATAAGATTATTTTAGTAATTTCTACTTTATTCCTACTACATCCAAATATAATACTAATATTTTTAAAACTACGTGCAAAAAACAAATTAATATTTAGTTATGGGACGGAGGAAGTACTATAATTGGTTACAAAAATAACCGAATTTAAAAATACACACTATCTCAATCATTTTTTTTTTCCAGAAAATTTTCACCTTCACTTTTAGGTTTGTTATCTCCAACTGCCATTTTTGAAATCATCACCGCCACTGCATTGGAAATTTTTTGGATCAAAGACCAACCGAGAGGATAAAACAAAGGTGCACAATCTTCTCGAAATGTAGAAAAGAGTTTCTCCCCGAAACGAAGTTTAAGAATTAAGTTAATTTTTTTGTATTTGGTAAAATCGATATTTTAGTTATGTACGTTTGAATTTGTGGCATACTTTAATATCTGTGTTGTGTCTCTATCCGGTTTGTACAAGCCTAAGTGCCAGCCGAGCTTACTTCGACATTGTAACTCATCATCGTTTCAAATATATGTTATTTTGATGTGTTTTAAATTGAAAATAACCTTATTGTATATAGAATTGTCTTCATTTTCATACTGTTAGGTTTAGTTTTATAGTAAAACAGTTGCAGTAATGGGTGGAGTTCAATTCTTTTCAAATATCGTTGGTGTCGATTTTTCATGTGACATTTTTACGTATTGAACATGTTTGTTGATATCTCTATCACATTGTTGGTTGTTTATGTATTTATTTTGTTGATTTATGAAATTTATGATTGTTCTTACTATTGTGCATTAATGTCTCAATATGCTTTTAGTTACAACAAATAATATATAATGTGTACTCTAATTTTCAATTGGTGTTCCTCTATAAGAAAGTTATATACCTATATAATTATATCGTAAACTTGAATCGGTGTTGTATATACTCTTGCAGATTTATGTATGTGTTTTAAATATTGTCAGACCCAAGGTGAGAGTCATGATTGCGGGTCATTAGTATGTTTGTTCTCTGAGAGTTACGCTTTATGCAACACGAAATTTATCCACCTAGCAGATGAACTACCGAATTTAACGATGTCAAAACATATCGAACAAAATTTATTGTGAAGATTTACCAGGAGATCGTAGAGGTGTTGTATAGTATCATTTTTCAAATTTATATGCTAATTTTTATGCATAAATTGAGAATAATTAAAATTTGAAGCATATGGATTCTAATTTAGGGTAGTTAGTCATTGATGTTATATTTTGCTAAGAAAAATTGAAATTCATTATAATTTCTAATTTAACATATGACATATGTGATACGCATTAAATATAAACATTGGTATTAGAGGTACGTACACACATAATTAAGATATATGCTTTGGTGCACAAAATTTCACGGTTGGGTGTAGAGAAACCCTTAAATTTGAATAATATACTTTCAATGAAGACATGTGTTCCTCATTTAACTAACTTACATACTCCTGACACGATTACATGTACTTTTATTAAAAAATAGGCTTTACATATTCTGACATATAGTAAAAATATGTGTACTCACCATGCTATTCTGAAAGCACCGATTGACACGTTTAATATATACCTCAATGGCAAATGCTTACTTATAGAGTGGATAATTCTAATATGTCTCATGTATAATATTTACTCCGCATACCTTCTAATACATTTGTTTGTTGGGATGTGTTTTCCTAGTCTACAAAATGATAACATGGATAAAGCCAATAAAAAGTGTGGGGGTGTCGAGAGACCTTTAAGTGGACAAAGTCGACAAAATTGCAATGATCTATTCAACCCACAACTGTCTAAGCTAGCTACAGTCATGGTTGGGTGTCGAGAGACTCCTAAGTAGGAGCTGCATACCTCCAATGATGATATTTGTTCATGTATTCGTTAAGTTACATACTTCTAAATTTATTGAATGTACTCATATTAAGGAATGAACTTTATAAGTAATTTTATTCATATTTGACATATATTGAGGATATATGTACTCCTCAAATATTTTGAAAGCATTGATGACATGTTTCATGTACACATCAATGACTAATACATTCTTTATAAGATGAGATGATTCAATATGCCTCATGCATAACATTTACTTACTATACCTAACATAGTTGTTCTTGTTGGGAGTTTATTCATACTCTAAAACATACTTGCATAGACAATCACAATACAAAGAACATTATGCATCATTAGCTATGTACTAATTCCAAAATGTTTATTACTATGGTTCACTATATGATATGTTATGTCATATATATTCTAAATAACATTTTCATCTATCCTTGAGTATATGGATAGGTGATCTCATAAACATATTAGAAATATCCGTTGATGCACACTAACTTCCAAAAAAGTGGGTAATGACATTGTTGATTTATGTTGCCGGATGGAATAAAACATCCTAACAAAAGGTAATGACATTGCTGAGTGCACCAAACTATTCAACGACTCGGTTATAGTATTATTTATTATTCCCCAATGAGTCTCTTGAAATAAATAATTCGTCTCATACTAGCGTTACAGTTGAGCAATGAAGTTTCAGGAAATTGGCATGGCCTCCATAATATACATTATATGTTGCTCAAAGTTCTTCTGTAGAGGGACATAACTGACTTGTTGAAATTGAATGTCCATCGTTTTTTGTTGTGCATCGGATATTTTCGCATTACCTATATGAAATGTAATTACTTTGTTATACATATAATAATAAATGACATATATTTTACATATAGCTGAGTGCGAAAGTTGTCAACTAGCTGCCGAAGACAATATGCATAGTGGGCTCTAGAAAATATTGCACGAATTGACTATATAAGTTCCGAATGTCTATCCGAAAAAAGTATACTAACTCCAATTATTGACCATCAACTTAAAGAAAAAAGTTTAAACTACAACAAAATCATTCTCAATTTTTTATCATTTTTTGCAAACGTTATTGCATAGTTACAATATTTTAACATTATCTAATACAAGCACATAAGATAAATATCAAGGCTCATATATGATTAATTATAATATATACCCAAAAAATCAGGGTATTTTCATACAAACGCATCATACGATATCAAACAATATGAGTATAAGATTAATGAATATAGGTATACTACACTGGCAAAAAGGACCCATGAAAATACCTACGGATACTAGCAGGGAATCGCAACTGCCCCCAACAAAACTTTTCCCTTATATATATTTTCCTAAACGAAAGGTTATAATGAAACCCAATTAGCAGCTACTACAATCATAATTTTAAACAAGACAACAATCATCGAAATAATAATAAAATACTTACTAGAAGCGACCGCAAGCCCTAACAGAACCATCGTAATTAACTAACAAAATAATCGCACCAATAGAACATCACACGCTGAAGAATCGAACATTATTCTTACCAGTTTCTCTTTTGCGTGAAATAAACCTAAAATTTTTGATTTAGATTTGAAACCCATCACAGTCACCAACGATCATATACTCCTCCTCGCGAACAAAATCGAACGATGTAGACAATCTTTTTTCTTCGCACGAATGAAACCAAATGCTGGACATAATTTCTTCCTTTGCGCGAAAGCAAACCTACAAATAGAGAGAGAAAATTGATATTAGTAAAATGAATTTTGGATTGAAGGGCAAAATTGAAAATGAAAAAATAATGGGGAGTTAATGGTAAAGTTTTTTCAAAATAGGGGAGTGCAGTGTTTATTAAAATGGTCTAGGGACTGAATTTAAATGTGAAAATAGGTATGGGTATTTTATTCCAATTTTCCGTTAAATTAAATATTTTTTTAATTTTTTTATATTATATACAAAATTAATTTTACATTGTATCTAATATCCTTTTGTCTGATTAAAAAATTGTTACGCATAAATAATAATAATAACAATAATGATAGCAGGATCTTAAAGGAAGTTAGGACCCGAAGTCGGCCGAAAAAGAAGAAAATATGCACTCAGGTCGGTTGGTCCGTGGTCGGTTGATCCGGTCGGTTGGTCCGCAGTCGGATAAGCAAGTCGGAAGGTCCGCGGTCGGAAAGGCAGGTCGAAAGGTCTGTGGTCGGAACAGTAGTTCAGTCGCTTGGTTGGGACGACCATTGAATCGTCTGGAAAGACCAGAGGGTGGTCGCTTGATGGGGCGACCAAGGAGTCGTTTGGTCTAACGACCAGTTAGTCTCTGGATTGGTCGGTTGGGTTATGCGGTTGACGAGACGGTTGCCGTAACCGACCAGATGACGTTTCAAAATGTTTTGTTGTGGGCGGTTGCTGGCGACGGTTCCGAAACATCTCTTCTGAGGAATATTTAAGGATTGAGGTCAGCAACTGACAGAGTATCTTCAATCATCTTCAAACAACAGCAAAGTGATTCGGAGATCATCCTTTAATTTTCCAGTCTGTAGCATTTATTTTCCAGTTTACTTATGTACCGTACAGTGTTTAGAGATTCATTATCTCATGCACTAATTATATCAAAT